TGCTCTTTCATTAACTTTGTAACGAACTGCCACAGTGAAGTAATATTCCACTTAGACACCGTTGAGAGCCCCTCTTCCGTGTCTTATGTTACTTGTGTTGAATTAAGAAGGCCGACACTTGTAACAATATTATTAATATACATATTAATTATGAATCTTATATCATTATCTATTATGCAGATTTTCTTGAATATTCAAATATGATTACAAATATAGAAATATCTGATTTATTATATAGTAAAGATTTTTTTACTATGTGCTAGCAAATTTGTTCAATTTGAGGCTCTATAAAGACTTGTATTAATATTTTGAAATCTAGTATAGCAACTTTAGCTAACTGTTATATACATCTAATAAAGTTAGCTATTGCAATATATCAAATTCCTAAATTCAATCAATTTAAACCTGCTGCTATTAAAATTTTTAATTAATACTATATAGAATTTCAGCATTCTTTATACCTTTTATGTTATTACCTTTACTCACTCTATTGTAATACAAATTTTAGTATTTTAATTTATTATTATTTTATTTTCTTTTTAATTTAATTTTTAATTTTTTTTTTTAGGATCAGGTCTGTGAAATGAAGCATTCTATGATGCTACTATAATAGTATCAAAATTATGAAAAGAATTAAAGAACTTATTTCACAATTCTATTATTTTGATATCAAAAAAGCACTATTTGACCTTCCTTATGTCTAAGGGTTGAATATCTCTCAGTTGTAGTAGAGTTCTATTAAAAGTTGATCACATCACTTTTCTGAACTTACTCTAAGACTTTTTAGTATTTTGCTATTACAAGCAAATTGTGAGAAGGATTTTTCAATTCTTAAGTAGTTCATTAGTGATAAATATACATGTCTAGAAGTTGACAAGTTTGAAGAAATGGCCAAGATCAGATCATATAATCTGATAAATATACAAAATAAGCTTACCTATTTCAATTCTAAGTTGACTTAATTAGAGTTATGCAAAATGGTAAAACTTGTAGCAGTTGATGATTATATCAATAATAGTCTTGACAATTATGTTGTAGATAAGGAAGAAACAAGTAAAAATTGTAATACATTTAATAAAGGCCTAGGTTTATTAACTCAGAATAATTTAATTTTAGATGATATTGTAAATCTTCAGGATACAGTGTTTCAAGAAAAAGAAGCACTATCATTTGAATTGTCTATTAATGCTGTGGATACTAGTGTTGAAGATGACATCAATATGAACTTTGATCCAGAGGATCTTGTTGATATTGTTTTAAATACTGAATTATAGATTAAATAATTATTAATTCAATAGCAAAAGATATAAATTTTTTTTAAAAAAATATAATAAATTTCAGACTAGCTAATTGCAGAATTTCATTCTAACAGCATGAATTTCGTTTATGATAATAAAATATACAGTGTGAAAATAAAAGTATTTCTATTTTATTTTCATAATATTTAGCTAATCAGTCACTATTGTAGTACTTCAATAGTGTTTTTCCTTCTAAGTTTTGGAGTTTATAAGATCCGTTGTTTAACTTTGATTTAATTACAAAGGGTCCACTTCTTTTGTCTTCGAATTTAGCTGATCTTGAATTTTCTA